AGGTACAGAAATTACAGCTGTAGACGGAACAGAAGAAGCGACAGCTGTAGAAGAATAGGGAATAAAAGAAGATACAGCTGTCGAAGTAGAAGCAGGGATGGAAGTAAGGGAGGTTGCAAGTGAAGAAGGAGGTCTTGGGACAGTTCTACGCATTTGACGTATCAATCTTCGTTGAAACATTTCTTATAAAATTCCTAAAAAATAATTTATAACCTTTTTTTAAAACTTCTTTCAATCTTTCAAATGTTCTCTTTTTCAAAAAATATATTGATACATACCAAATTGCAAAATGTTTTGGAATGAAGTGACAAACATGGTTTGGAGATCCATTTTATATCTTTTCCAAGATGGGTGGCTGAGAAAACAAAGATTGGCCAATAAACGAATATGACGATCAAAATAAACGAGACGGCCAATAAACGAAAGAGTATTTGTTTAATGCTCACGAGATACGTCATCAATTGTAAATGGGCATATCAGAATTGTGTGACAGGTTTACTTGTATGGATATGATCTGCACTGATCACTAGGATGGTCACCCGACCACAAAAATCATGGTAAAAATATGATGACGTCTACTGCGGCGGAAAGCGAAATTCGAACTATAATGGTTTCTTATGCTTTTGGTATTTATTGATTTTATAAAAGGGATTTGTAAGTGTTTAAGTGTTGATTTAATTTTTTTAAAATTTTTAAAATTTTTACAACAAAGTATAGATTTTTATTATTTTTATATAAAGGAGGCTACGTGATTTTTAATAATATATGTTAAGAGTAATAATTTTCTTTTGTTAAGATTTTTTTTTAATAAATTTATTTGTTAATATAATATGAAAAAATTTTTTTAAAAAAAAATAATTGATCAAGACCTTAATTAACTACAATACTATTTAGATATGCGATTTCAAAAGAAATAATTGGAATTCTAGCTTTTTTAAAACTCGTTATCCGCATGATTATATGAACAACGATTCTATCTTGTTTTTCTTATCCATTTGTTGGCAGTAATATGGATTCCTTTAAAGGAAATTCATTCTCTCGAAAATTTTCAAATCGAAAAATCAACTTTAGAAACGATTTTATGTCAAATAAAGGATCTTTAGTGAAATTTTCTAATGAAGGTAAGAACATAATTTATTTAACAAAGATGTTATTTTGATTTATCGTTACAGTATCAACAATATTAATTTCCTTCTATTTCTGCAAATCAAAGGATTTATGGACTGAAAACTTCATGGTTGCTTAATTAGGTATAAATTTGTTGTAAAGTGCTTTATAATTTGTTGCAGGAGATCTCCCTACATACAACGCAGTCATAATTCTTGAAATCGTTTACAGCAACTGTCTAAAAATCGATTTTGATTATTCGATTTCAGATTTCAATCAATCTCTCTCGTCTAACAACGCGTCTACATTTTTATTTATGATGGAAACTATAATAATACGAACGAAGGAAATGATCAGATTTATTGTACAAGAATATAATATAGAAATCATTCGAAAATTTGGACAAATTATGACAATATAATGAATCATTGACAGAGAAGAAAAGAAGTTCAAAATTGTATCATTTCTTGTTCTTTAATTTAAAAGCTAATAAAATTTTTTTAGAATATTAAAATTAATATTATAAGAAGATGCTTTAAAAAGGTAATGCCCTTTGAAATCTTGAATCATTTTGTTTTATGGTGAATGTATTTTTCTTTTTTTTATCATTATTTTTATTTTTTAAAAGCAAAAGGATTTGACCTCAGCTTACGGAATAATTTAATGAAACAAAATTTTAATTTAATTTGTTTTTGATCCATGCAAAACAAAAAAACCAAATATTGTTCGCTAATCATTACATAACATGTAATAATTGTTTCCTTAGTTATGTTTCTAATGGAAATAATGGCGATGTAAAAATTAAAATTGGCTAAGAGAAAAATACCTATTTAAGAAAAATGTATAGGAATGATAATGGTCGTAATTATTTTTTAAAGTTTAACAAGGCAAGATTTTGTTTGATATTCAAGTTAAATTCTTACTTCTACAAGGTTTATTTATTATTGGATTACTAGGAAAGAAATTACCATATTATATATATAATTTATTAATTTTTATCTCACTTTATTGTTCAAGTCCTTGAGAAAGTTTAGTTAATGCTTCTATTTTTTAAGTATTATTATTGGTATAAATTTTTAGTATCGTCTAGTCTTGCAGAGGATCCTTTCGGAGGATGTTTTCGATATTTAATTTGAAATCCTTTTTTTCGGTTTATTATCTCTCATTTCGTATGAGATAATTTAAAGTATATCGAATTATTAAGTGGATGTCAATGATTTTTCGAACTTGGGTGAAAGTAGATAGATCACTTGGAAATTTAAAAAAAAAAATAATTCAGGATTTATTTTATTCAATGGAATACCAACTATTAATGTCTCAGCCAGCGCTCTTTAATAGGCCTAAACTAGCTAATTCTATTTTCTATCGGAATATAAAGATAATAAATCCTTCCTCCCAATAGTCGCAATCAGTTATTTAAATACTTTATTTTAATATCTAAATGATTAGTTTCGAATTTAATTTATTTAACTTACAAAAATAATCGTGTATTCCCAATGAATAAGTAAAAAAAAAATATCAAAAAAATTTTATCCTTTATATATATTTGACGATTATCCTCAAGTTTGAATCCAATCCAAATCAAATGCATGTTTTCGAATTCAAATCTTTGAGTTGACTGAATGATTCGATTCATGAAACAATTTTTCATATTTACTAAATTTCTTTTAATTTCTTTCACTAATATTAAATCTCATGCTTCCTCGGCTAAAAATAATCTTTTAATATATTAATGAATTTACGCCAACATGTTTAACCTTTCCAAAATAAGAAATCAAATTAAAGATTTAAATTGTCTATATTATTTTTTTTACCTTTCCATTCTCCTTTCCTTTATTACTTTTCCATCATCATCCCCTTCATCCTTTAATTTATTTTATTATACTAAATGAAGATGGGAAACCAAAACATTAGTAAGGGATCAAAAATTAAAGAAAAGAAGCACGATTACAAAAAAGTTATAAGTCAAAACTGTAGGTCAACTTTTGTATTTCTAATTGTGTTTCATTAGTTATGGATTAAAATCCTATAAATTTTTGAAAGCATATCCACTCTTCTTTCTATAGCACTAAAAAACTTTGTGTGGTTTATACAAAACGACCAGAAACCTATGAAGATATCTGATTGTGTGTTTTATTCGTATTGGTTAAAACCCTATTTATTTTGTGCTATGATGACTAGAAATCATGAAGTTATCTTAATTATTCTCCTACTGGTATTGTGATACACTGACTAATTTTATGTTATAAAATGGAAATAGATGTGGAAGTATGTTGTCAAACAGAAGAAAGTACACCTAGAAATGAAGCTGGTTGTCAGACAGAAGAAGGAGCATCTCCCGCAAGAATAGAAACAATCGCAACTTCTCAAAATCCTTCTCATAATAATAATCAATCTCCAGAAAGAGATAGGGGAAATCATTGTCACGTCTCAACACTGTAGGGGCCCTTACACAAGTAAGGAAGTAATTATGATAATAGGCATTGCATGCCGCAGCACCGTCTAATCGAGCATATTATTGGGTGAGGATAGGTTCGATTCCTAAGATGAATCATCGGAGAGGATGCATATTTAGACGTAATATTTTTAATTTAAATTTTAAATTGTTTTTTTATTAAAATTAATTTATTTGTATTTATAGGTGTATCCAACGATTCCGACAATTGAAGAATTTATAAAAAGCAAAAAATGAATAAAAAGAGAAAGGGGATGATGATGATGAAATCATGAATTTACAGACTATTTATTATTTGAGAGATTTTTTTTTATAAATTTTTATCAAATAAATTTTATAAATTTTATACATTTTTTTAATAAATTATAAAAAAAAATCTATTTAGATAATTTTGATTGCTAGCATTATCTTGTAAAAGGTCTCCGAATTAATCACCAATTTTCTTTTGAGTAATTCCTTTAGAGAACATATTAATGTTTTGGGCGAAACTAATTTCGCCCAAGATCTATAAAGTGTTTCCAATTAGAGGTTTCGGGATAATTAGGTCGAAACTGAAAGTTCACTGGACGAAAATTTAAGTTAAGAAAATGGTTTCGCCAGAAACTTTTACCGTATATTATATTATTTTTACTTTTGATACAGAAACTAGCAAGGAAAAAATTTAATTTTTTTGTCAATGTAGTTGGAATTGATTTGGGAACGACATACTCCTGTGTTGGAGTTTGGATAAATGATAGAGTTGAAATTATTGCCAATGATCATGGTAATCGGAAGACGCCTTAATATGTCGCATTCACCGAAACAGGACGTCTTATCGGTGATGCCGCCAAAAATCAAGTTAAAATGAACCCTCATAATACAGTATTTAACGCTAGTTGGTCGTAATTTTAACGACCAAAAAGTTCAATCTGATATGAAGGTAAAAATTATATCAATTGTTATGATACGAATTTATCATTCTCATTCTTGTTTCTTTTTTTGTTTTAGCATTGGCCATTTAAAATAATAGATAAGAATGGAATGCCATATATACAAGTAGATTTCAAAGGCGAGAAGAAGGATTTCTCACCTGAGGAAATTTCCTCTATGATCTTGGTAAAGATGAAGGAAACTGCAGAAGCTTATCTTGGTACAAAAGTTAATAATGCCGTAATTTCGTCACCAGCTTACTTTAATAGTTCTCAACGTCAATCTATAAAAGATGCCTGTGTGATCGCCGGTTTAAATGTACTTCGTATAATTAATACAACATCCTTAGCAGCTATTGCTTATGGTTTCGATAAGAAGTCTTTTGGTGAAAAAATGTTCTGATATACGATTTAGGTGGTGGTACTTTTGATGTCTCCCTCCTAACTATCGAAGAAGGAATTCATGAAGTAAAAGCCGTTGCTGGTGATTCACATCTTGGCGGTGAAGATTTGATAACAGACTTGTAAATTATTTTGTACATGAATTCAAACGAAGATTTAAAAAAAATCTTACAACGAATGCACGTGCTCAAGGTCGATTAAGGACAGCTTGTGAACGCGCAAAACGTGATCTTTCAACATCTCCACAAACTTTCATTGAAATTGATTCTCTCTTCGAAGGAATCGATTTCTATACCTCCTTAACGCGTGTTAGATTTGAAGTATTGAATTAAGACTTGTTCCAGTCTACAATGAAACTTGTTGAAAAAGTACTCCGAGATTCTAAAATCGATGAAAATCAAATTCATGAAATTGTTCTTGTTGGTGGTTCAACTCGCATTCCTAAAATTCAAAAGTTGGTATCTGAGTTCTTCAACAATAAAGTACCAAACAAATCTGTTCATCCTGATGAAGCAATGGCATATGGTGCCGCCATTTTAGCTGCTATTTTAACTGGTGATACTTCTGAAAAAACTCAAGATTTACTTTTACTCGATGTTGCTGCTTTATCTCTTGGTATTGAAACTACCGGTGGTGTCATGAAACCGTTAATTAAGCGTAATACTATAATACTTACAAAGAAATCTGAAATACTTACAACAAATTCTGACAACCAATCGGGAATACTTATTCTAGTTTATGAAGGAGAAAGGGCTCGTACTAAGAATAACAATTTGCTTGGAAAGTTCGAATTGACTGGAATTGCTCCAGCTCAAAGAGGTATTCCAAAAATTGAAATCGTTATTGATATTGATGCAAACTGTATATTAAACGCACGTATAGGATATTCTACTATAATTTTTATTATTGTCATATTTAAGGTATTTATTTGTATTAACTTTATTTAAATTGTAGGTAGCTGCTGTTGATAAAACAACTGGAAGATCGAATAAGATAACGATCACGAATGACAACGGTCGACTGTCAAAGGAAGAAATCGACCGTATGGGTAGTAAAAAATCTTTATTACCAATTTTTTATGCGATTATCTTTTTAACAAAATCTATGTTATATTAGTTACCGAAGAAATGAAATATCGTGAAGATGATGAAAAAATACAGGCACGAAATCGATTGGAAAGTTATGCATTTAACTTACGTAACACACTTGATGTATGTTTTTTTTTTGACATTTCTTTTATTATAAATCGAAATGCTAAATCCAAATTATCTTTATATAATAGGATGAGTTACATCGAATTAACCTACTTAAAGATGCAATTCAAGAATCGATTAAATGGCTTGAAAATAACAAAGGGAAATGAAGGAGGAATATGATAATAGACAAAGCTTACTGGAAATATTATCCAACCCAATAATGATGAGACTTTATGGTGACAAATACTCCAGCTTCAATACAGGTTTCACAGAATATATTGAAGAAAGAGAAAATAATATGCACTGTAATTATTAAATTTAATTATTTATTGGAAATATGGACTAATTCTTTTATTTAACGAAAATTAAATTATCGAAACCGAACATAAAAAATGCTATATTTTAATTATGACGTTCTATTTTTAATTTAATATTATGTCTAGAGATGCTAATGGTTACGGTTATGACGGGTCATGACCCGTCATAACCGTGACCGATATTGGTCAGTCAAAGGTTTTGACCGACAAGTTGACCAAACATTTTTTAATTAATAATCCAAGCATTCTTTGCATTTAATTAACAATAATTTTAATTGATGTTATTTTTTATAAATTAAAAATTTTAATTTATTTTAAAAAAAAGATCGCGATTACCATCCCTAATCCTCACTATTTGCATTGGTTTGATCCTTTTTATTATCCCTGATATTGGTTACCGGACTTTTAATGAATAATTGCGTATTGAGAATGATTATTGCATATATGCGGAATGTGAATTGCATCATTTATCTATTATCAGCATGATGAGGATCGTAGCTTGATATTGTTTAGTAACTTGACTCGCTCGTCTCATAAGAGTCTATAAGTCAAATCGAATACAAAAGTTCCTCCTTGGTTTCATCCTCCTCATTATCTCTTTTCCTAGATTTTTTTTTCTCTATATCAGATTTCTCCAGAGGTGAATATGAGTTCTTCTCTAATCAAAATGAAGGTCAAAAAGGATTTCCCTATAATTTGATGAATTCCCAAAATCGAAAGACTACGTTCTCAATCACCTCTCTCATGTGATTTGATAGTGATCAAGCTTTACGATCAATTGAAATATAAATGGAGATCATTGCTATTTTATCTTTCTGAATAAAAAAAAAAAAATACCATAATAGCTCGCACCGGCACTTGTTACTAATTTAACAAGTAATTTATCATTCATTGCAACAACAACAACAATATCCTTCTACGCCTATCATAAAAAGTAGTGTTGTGATCAATTTACGATGGTGATGGTCCCGTTGAAGATTAAAATGAGAGAGTTTGTTTGAGCGAATGAAATTTTTAGTCTGTCAGCGCAGCTCTATCAAAAAAAAGGTGGTTTATAGCTCCCCGTATTATTGACTTTAATGATAATCTTGTTTTGTTTTTTTAGCCAATCAAATCATTTATAAACCCAATCTAGATATCTATATTGCAAAGGTTGACATTTATAAATATAGGAATATTTTCGTGTAATAGATGGTTAATTGATGTTTCTAATCAAGTATTGAAAATTCAGAATTAATAATAACAGTTTCCTCATTAACTAATCTATATATACTGCGGATGGTCCATAACTCGTGAAAACTTCTTAAGATTTTTATAAAAGCCTGTTAATATTGAGGAATTCGTTCGAAAATAAGATGTATTAATATCTATTCAATAGAATAAAAAAAAATTTCAAGTCCTAATTTTGCTGATAAATAAAATATATTCATAACTTAATTTTATTACTTGTATAACTTTGAGGAGATACCAAATGAAATAAAATATTTTAGTTAAGGTTAATAACCATTTCTTGGTCATCAATGAATAATGTTATTCATTGACCATATAATATTTTATAAAAATCTTCTCATATTCTTTATTCTTATTCCATTTAGTGATAAGGAAACAACTGTCTTTAAACTAATTTTAAAGACGTCACTAGCAAATAGATATAAAAACCATTAAATTTCAAATCATGGTAGAGAAAGCAAGAGCAAAAAATTAAAAAGTTTAACAATTATATTTAGTTAAATTTTTATTGTTTTTAATAATTATTAGTTTATTAAGGTATATTCGTATAGTAAATAATATGTGATTCAATAAAGATATTGACCTGATAATAAATTTTACTTTTTTTGCTTTTTTATATGATTTTTATTTTTTTTAAAATATACTTAAAAATATGTAGCTTTGCAATAGAAAAGTAGAAACTGCCGAAAAATTAAAATGTGTTGATGACAATTTCAGATATATTTCGGCCAAAAATATATTTGGGTTATAAAAGCAAGTTATATTACATAATAAAATTTTGAAATACTCCAAGATAAATCTTTTCGTTATATAAATCTATTATTAAACTAATTTAATAAGTCGACGACTTATTTAACATTACTTTACGTTTTATCACAATTTAATTTTTTTATTCGAATATAATAAAATTGGCATATTTTTTTAACTGTCCTTTTTTTTAAACAAATTTTTTCATTTATTCAATTTCTTACTTTCTATTCACTAACTCATACAGGCAGTCTTTTTTTTAAAAAAATTTCTTTTGCTGGAATATTGATGGATCTTTTGGAAACTGAAAATTTAGAATTATATGGGAACGTTTCCAGTAAAATCAAGTTATGAGCATAGTAAATCATATGATCCGTAATGTGATTTTACTGGAAACGCTCCCATATAAGTTTACGATAGAAAAAGGTTTACATTTTATTTTCTTTTTTTATAGATCTTTGAAACTATTGGGATAAGTATTTAAGTATGTTTTATATGTTTGTGTTTATTTTTTTTTTATTAAAATTAAAAAAATTAACTTTTCTTATATTTACTTGATTATAATTGGAAATATGAGACAGAATTTGCACGAACTTTCTTATAAAAACCTATGAGAAAGCGAACCATTGCTGTTATTTAACTGTTGTTAGCTGAAAATTAAAGTAAAGTAGTCATGTGTTGAAGAGTGAAGCATGTCTTATATGAGAAACAGTACTTGTAGTTTTCATTTCTGAGAAATTATCATTAAACATTAGAAGGTTTTAATAGTCAGAATAGTGGGTCTGAATTAGTCATTATTTAGTCAATCAATTATTTAATCATCCATAATTATAATAAATCGAATAATCAAATTACTGATTGGAATAATCAAAAATTCAAATGTGATAGGTATATAACAAACAGATTTATATTGTTAGCTTTATATAATTATATTATTAAAACCTTTTAATGTATGTGATGTATAGCCTTTTTCTAAATATGTATGTATTGTATGATAAGTCTGATAATTCAGATTTAAGGATAATTTTTTGCCATAATTTTTATTACCAAATTTAACTATTTTACACATTTTCATAATGATTGTATACTGGTTAATACATATAATTATAATCTTCTCTTTTCTTTTCTTTATTTTCTATCGTGTTTTATTACTATAATCTTTTCTTTTCTTTTATTTAAAAATAAATATTCTATTGCATTTATTACTATGTCTAAATTAAATCCCATTATTCTTTCAAATATTAGAACTATATCTGATGACAAAACTATATCTGAAAATGTATATTCTGAATCAATAGATGAATAGGTTTGCTCTTTTATTACACTTTTTATATTAAATAAAGTCAGATTTATCATGAATAACTGGATCTGGATCTCATTTCTCAGTTTCTAAAATTTTATTATTTGCTTAGGATGCTAATGAAGATATATAACAGATAGCATTTTTACAAAACATCTTTTATTTCAGAGGTTATACATTTAGCTTTTCCTATTAAATATTCTAAAACTTTATCAAAAGAAGTAACCACAATAGCCACAATATTTAATATTACTAGCTTGGCAAATCTAATAGTTTAATAGTTTGTTTTAATTATACAAGTATTTTTCACTATTATAATTTTTCCCTATTAACTTTGCTGCTTTTTCCAATATTCTAGTAATGGAGTAAGAGGATCAATTTTAATTCAAAATTGTCTTTATTTTAGAGTAACAGTAAAAAAAGATGTGTAAAAGCACCAAGGAATCATGCATTATTCCTTTGCAAATTCAGATTTTATTATTGAGCAGCATAATGAAGTTGATATAGAATTAGAAACATTTATCAAATTAAACCAATATCAGTATAATAAAAAGATTAAATTTATATGTAAATTTATGTAATTATTTATTTTTATAAGTTAAAATTTATTTACAATTTTTAATACATATTATAAGATATTTTCTTGCTATTAAATCAACAACTATTAAATATTAAAACTAATAATAAACTTTGTGATGACCAAGTAGATTAAGAAAAATTATAAAAATAAAGGTAAGGAGTATATTATTAGATATGACAAATAGATTAGTGAGAAAAAATAGCATAGCTATATTATAGTTCCAGAGATAATTGACTTGCAATTATTATGAGATATTTTTCAAGAATGTATTATAAGTATTTATTTGATTTAATATTAATTTATATAAAACTTATTTATTGTAATAATGAATTTAGATTGACGAAAATAATGATGAAATCAATACATACTATTATTTTATTATATAATTGACTAATTTATTTTATTAAAAATTCCACATATTCAAGATGATCAAGTTGTTTAAGGAACTATAATTGAATAAAAATGTAATATGCAATTTATTAAATATATTTCATAGGATTGGCTGTATATCTTTATATTGCATTAGTGTTCATAGGTATACATAACAACCCACTGCTACTATTAGAGCATATACTAATAGGTATTAAGAATAAGTTACAAGCAATGATCCAAAATATTATTACTTCAAATAATAATGTAACTTTACGCTCACTCAATTCTAGCAGATAATTTCTTAAAATATATTTTTATTTATAATAATAATAATATATAATATATTTTTTATTTTAAATAAAAAATAATCGTATTTTAGCAACTTTTGATAAAGATACTTTATTAGAAGTACATAAATTGCTAAACAATGTGAATAAACTTAAATCTCTTATTGCTAAATATTATAATAATATACATTTTTATGGATAAGGGAACTTAGGAGATATGTATATTGTTCAGTGTAAAAAAAATTGATATGCATAATTATATACATTATATGGGTAAGTATTACATAATACACTTTATTACATACAGTATTATATAATTATAATTTATTATTTA